CACTCTGTGTTTTCCATTATTTTACTTGTGTTCTTGTTTTTCTCTCTTTGTTTGTTTTGTTTACTGTGTTTTCACGCGGAGAGACGCGTCCCCGGCGCCGCGAGATTCTTTTTGACGCCCCCATCCGACGCCGGGTTACCCTGAGACACGGCGTCGATCATTTATATTAACCACTTGTTACGTGCGCGCACACTGGGTGTAACGGCGAACACATGCGCAGTCCGGGACTCCCCGCCGTGAACCGGACCGAGACACGGAAGTTCTGTTCCCCTCGGCGCGGTTTCATATGGAGGAGATCGAAATCCATTATAATTAATTTCCGAAGTAGAACCCTTCAACAATATCCCAATTTTTAATCCTTCGGACTTTGCTTCACTTATGTAACCCGGTTTCCAATCTTTCGAGCAGCCTTTTTTCTCGATTCTTCAACTAAGATTCACGGGAACCGGAACGAACGTTTGTTTTCAAAATGAAGATTCGCGTGATAATCGAGTTCACTGTGGACACATAGTATCTACAGCGTGATTACAGTGGCATTGCATATAGGTCGAAAGACTATCTCACTGTAATCAGTGTTTCACCTCGAAACCAAATGTACATTCATAATGAAAATGCAATTTAAAAAAGAACAAAACATTCACCCTTCTCAATAACGTCAATACCCAAAGAATTTTATCAAAAGTATTTATACAAAAATGTAGAAAAATCTCAAAGTTCCCAAATTTCATGTCTAACCGTCACACCCAGACGAATCGTGGAACGTTCCGTATTCAACAGACCTCCGTCAAACAGAACTTCCGTGCTTCCGAAAATCGCATCCGTTGGATCCCAGAGGACAAAGTGTCCGGCGTTGCACCCGGCCACGCGCGTGCAAGTGCCCGTACGTGTACGTCGAAGCCCGCGGCGTTCGATCTAGCGAGAGTTCTTTTTTATTTTATATTTCCTCTGGTTTTTCTCCTATTGCTCGCCGTCGAGAGAGAGAAAGAGAGAGAGAGGGAGAGACAGAGCTGGTCCTCTTTCCCTTTCTCTCTCTCTCTCTCATTGATTCTTTCCACCGCGGTCCTTCTTTCTCTTAGTGAGGTCTCAGCGTAACGATCTTGTTCTTGCAGTTGTAGTAATCGTAATCGTAGTCGTGGCTGTACGGCGGCAGCAGGGACGTCGACTCGGTGGCCGGACAGGGAAGATGCCGGGGTCAGGCGAGCTCGTTGCTGTCCGGGAAGTGGTCGCGGCAGTCGAGGCACGCGGCCAGGTCGAGCACCAGGTGGTGGAGTGTTGGGTGCTCGAGCACCTCGGCGTCCGGTAACGGCGGATGGCAACGGGGCCTCTGCTGTCTACCCCTGAACGACCGGTGCAGGTTGAGCACCACGTCACAGAACACGTAACGCACCAGCAACAGCCGTAGGAAATCGTCACCGAAGAATTGCAACACGCTGGTCTCTGTCGGGACAACGAAATGTTTGTTAGTTGTCTGATTTATTTTGAACCCTTTCTTTTTATTGCACTATGGCAGTGTTGATCGAAGAGTTTTTGTAGGAAAGATTGTATATGCCAGACTGATACATTTTTGTTTACTGTTCTTAACCTGTTTTGTACTATTTCAGTGAAATATTTCTTTTAGTAGACATTTATTGTAGTTCCAAGATTGAATGATATTTTTTCTTTATTTTAAAAAATTTGATGTTAGCAGTTACAAGCTTTCGCAGACTCTTCGATTATTAGATATCGTATGTCTGAGTCTAGTAAAAATTTGGTTTTGCTATTTAATTAGTTGGAAATTTGTTTTATTCAAGTGTATGTTTGCAGGTCCCCCCAACCCCGTAACGTCGCGCGAGAGGTTAGCAGGACGTTTGGAAGCAGAAGAAGCTAATTATCTTCGAGGTAGTAACGAAAATAGAGAAAATTGAATATTTTAAATGTATACAGCATAGAAGAACAATACTGAAAGGAACAGAAGTATTTGTTGTAATTCAAAATTCATTTGTATTGAATGCTATTTTCGGAAAAATAAATTCATATTTGAACTCTTTAAACATCGGAATCGTTTAAGAGTTCAGTCACAATTTACTTTATTGCTTCAAATTATGTAGAAAACAAACAATAACTTATTACATGTAAAATGTTGTACACATGTATAAAAGAAGAATAGAAGTATACAATTTTTTATTTGTCTTTTTAGGGTTCTTAAGCGTGGAACTGATACTTGAGTGGAGAGAAACTGCCGGAGTCAGGCATCGATGTCGCGACGAAGGGGTCGAGCAGAATCTCCCAGAGATTACGCAAGCGTTGATAAACCCTTGCTCCAGATTCGCAAGAGGCGACGTCGCATAAACGCGCGAGTTTTCAACTCGTGAATACTCTTTCGTCGCGACAGCCTAACGAAATCATTGTCGGCGGCTGACGATTCCAGCCGCCAGCTAGGAGGACTCCGATCCAAACATATATCGGGTGTCTCGGAAATCACGAGACAAAACGTCAAAAAACTCATTTCACGAGATAAACTGATAAATTTGTATACATGAAGCTTTGTGTTTGATAAACATATAAAAGGTTTCTTAAATTTTCCAAATTCTCTTATAAATTACTCGAAAACAATTACAATAAGATTGATGTTGAATGAAAATACTTAATTGCATAAGTAAGTAGATAATAGTGTAACGTAAGAATCGCGGCGCCAAATAATGAACAATCCTTTCATTTATCTTTGCTATCAAAGAACGAGTGATACTTAAAACGCTGCAGAGTCTCGTAGCAGTCAACGTGTTAACTGATTTACATCATCAACGTATATACACGTTTTTAGTCTAAGCAGCTAATAAATAGTCAATCAATATTATAGAAATATTACATTATTACTATTATCATACTATTACTATTACTATTCTTTAATATTATTTACTATTATTTACTATTCTTTAATATTATTTACTATTATTTACTATTCTTTAATATTATTTACTATTATTTACTATTATTTACTATTATTTACTATTATTTACTATTATTACTATCACCTTTTTATATTATAAATATATCACGTTAGTTATTGTTACAAAATATGTATATATACATGATCTATCTATATTTTTCTGCACTTTAGTCAATCAAGTAGAAAAACTCAGATTTGTCTGTAATAGAATATTTTCCATCTTGCCGTATTATGCGAATGGGCTAATTCAATGAACCAAATGACCAATGACAAATCAACAATTTTTCCATTCGCTGTCATTTACGTTCCTAAGGCGAATTATCGTATCGGTTGGCCGGCCCGATCGATTTCATGAAACTTTCTTGAGCCGGGGCTCGAAACGTATCGCGAAGCGTTATTCGAGGGGTATGGCGCCGCGAGAAGGGTAGGGGGGCGCCCTCGGTATCAGATACTCGACAAAGGGAGCCACTCGTACGTTCAAAACTCGTACGACATATCGCTGTCGCGGGAGGAACAATGAGGAGCCCCTTTGTGGCCGACCCTAGATCACGCGTCTACGAGACGAGATTGCCGGTTCAGCGATAAACACGGACTGGATCTAGGCCAGACACTGTTTATCGCCGTAACGCAATCATAAACCCCCTTTTCGGTCCCGTTACCCGATAAATAACGGACGATTCTTTCATCGAGTCGGGCCAAGATTCTTTTCTTCTTTCCGGGAACTTTGTTACTCGTTCGCGAACATGTATACGCGTGCGAAACTGTTTTCTGATTAAAGAGTAAAATTTTGGATGAAAGGCAGAAATACAATGTGTGAAGTTGTATGCGGTGTTGATGGATAAATAATACAGAATAGAATGTATAGAAATAGGAATTGAATAATACGATTAGACAATAAAATAATAATAATAATTAAAATAAAATAAAATACAATTGTAAGAATAATTGAAAAAAAATAAAATAAAATTCATTCAGTAGGAATTTATTCGCATAAGAATGGTATAGGATTTAATGATAATTTGTGCGTTAAGAATTTGTTGAAAATTCGTCTGTTAAGGGTTTTTTGAGATTAAGACATGTTAAACTTTTATGTGTAGAGTACATATTCAGAGTGTGTCTGTTGAATAGTTTCTGTTCGTTGTTTCATTAATATCGATATGAGTATCTAGTAATTGAATCGTATCGATACTGTGTGGGACAGCAAATGGATTTTATAAACATCAATGACATATCATTTCGACAAGTCGATATCTCGTTGAATTCGTTTCAAAACAAGATATTCCATTTCTTTGATTTGACGGGGGAAACTTAATAGAATTTTTATTATTCGTAGCATCAAATGATGAATAATTTCTCTGTACTAGTAATCGATCCATGTTTGAGGTTACCGTTCCCGTTTCCGGCATCGGGATCAATACGCGGGGGTTCCAAAAAACGGTTCCAACTGGACCAGCCCTCGAAATCAGCATACCGGAGCCAAGAAAGTTTCACTGACACGGATCCGTGTTTCTCTAATCCCTCACCCTTTGCCCGCCGCCCTTGTGAGCCAATTAAAACTCGCGAATCTCACCCCCTTCTTACCCCCTTGCTACCAAGGCCAAACCGCCACGACACGCAAACGACATGAGCAAAAAAACAGAAACAACGAAGAAAAAAGAACTGGAATGAAATTATTTGGAACATTCGAAAAATGATTGAGGGTGTGTACCATTGTTGGATTAACAGTAGAACTGAATTGCAATAAAAGTCAATTGAGATTTCAATAAATATACTTCTACAATATTTGTAACACGTTAACGATAATTAGTGTTTACTAGTTCTAATATTATTCAATATCGTCGATTACCGTCTCAGTTTCATCAACCGCTTCAAACTTACCACCAAAGAAACAATGAAAAATCGGGTATGTCTTAACGCAGAAACAAACGGATCAGACGTGACCCAATAAAAATCTAAAAACTAAAAGGTCTCCGCAACATTTCGACGAAAATCTTGGAAACTAAATTCAAACGGCAGTTAGCGGTATCAGGCAAAGCTACTTGGATGTCCTCTATGAGATACCTATTGACAATGTCATTGAAGTCGTTGATTCGTGTCCTTTCGGGCACAGTTATCCAACGGTCAACAGCAACGTACAAATAAGTAAATAGAAGAAACGCGTTTGCGTGAATCCTTACCGCATCTCGAGCGCGTGACGAGCTGACACGCCTCGATGAGGAACCGCTCGATGTAACGCTGGCACCGCTCCCAGTGGTGCACGGCCAGGCTATCGATGTTGCATATAAGGCAGAAGGCGGCGAGGGGGGCGTGGAGGAACAGGGTGAACAGACTGCCGCCGTGTCGGACGTCCCGTAAGGTAGGCGGCGTGTCCTGCGGCGACATCAGCACCATCAACGGCTGCCCGAAGTAGCGCGGTATCTGCTGGAACACGAAGCTGTTGTCCGAGTCGACCACCACGAACAACGGCTTCCTGGTGAACGGGTAGAGGTCGCCCGGGTAGAGGCAGTGCGGCTCCTTGCCACCTGTCGGCCTCTTACAGTGCTCCGGGTCTCTCTTGCTGCACGTCGACACGCCACCCAGGTCGTACCCCACTGGAACAACCGAAAATTTATCAACATCGTGCAATTCCGGCCTCGCCGATCGGTACGATGTCAGAACTGGGAGGGGACCAGTTTTAGACCACACAAACCATTGATAGGTCAGAGTATAATTACTCTGATTGTTGATTCAATTCGATTGGAATGATTATTCTGATAAGTACCATCGTTCATGATGCATTTATTTTGAATAATATTAAAATGATGGGTATTATTATTTGTGATATTATGTTGTTTTGATTTTTATGTTGTCGTTGTTTATATTTTATGTTTATGTTTTTGTTGGTTATTTTGTTGTGTTTGTAATTATTGGTTATGATAATTGTTATGCTATTGTTATTTATAGTTCATGTTTAGATCTTTGGTAGTTATTGTTACTATTTAGGATGATTATTAATATTGGAAATTAGTGTCATTCTTCTTTTTGTAGTTTGATTGGTGGAGTATATTGGATTGTAGTGAATAGACCAATTGACAAAAAATTATAAGCCAGGTAGAATGTGGAGCACTATCACGGTGTGAAGAGTTTCGGAATTTGAAATTCAAGCTTTACTTCAGTTAATTATTGGAAATAAATTTGGTTATAAATAAATATAATCGTTCCTTCTTAAAATAAAACTTTTAGTTTTCGGAAGCTTTGTCGCTGAAGTGTGTTAGAATCACCGTTCGAATTCATCGGAAAATACTTTGAAGGCGAAGAGTTAAAATACCCAGAATCTAACTGAGCCGAGGATATAAATAGGAACGAGTGCGCTCCACTGCATCGAATTGATCCTTTTAGTTTGACTGACGCCCAGCAACCATTCTTAAAAATTTATTTCGAATGTCAGATTTAACTAGATTTAGGGAGGATAATGGAGAATTCTTGTCGTTTCAAAATACATCAAGCAATTAATTTGTCAGATTGATTCTACGAAATTGTCGCTCCGCATTTAGAAACGTCGAAGGGTAAATTTGTCAGCGGAGGAGTGAATGTAACCTACATTCTCTGAAATTTCGTAAAATCAACCGTTCAAAATCGTTGTTCTACACTTAGAAATAATGGAAAATTAATTTCCCAAGAAAAAATCATCCTTTGAAATTATTGTTTCGTATTTGGAAATAACGCAGTTTAAATATCCCAGGGAAGAATCGCATGAAATCAAGCTTTCTAAATCATTGTCACGTATTTAAAGGTGAGGGAAAATCTTCTCAACGACGAATTGAACGTAATCGACAAAATTTCTTAAAATTTCATGAAATTGATCTTTGGAAATCATTGTTTCGTATTTAAAAACAAAGGCGAACGTTCTGAGCGACGAAACGAACATAACCCAGAAGATTGCCTGCAGACACATCGTTTTATTACATAATGGCAGGGATTGTGACTGTCTACGGAAACCCGTCAATTGTCCCGCGCCTTTCGTTAGGCCCGTTTTCGCGCCCGACGTTCCTATGAATAGGGACGATCGGTTGCATCGGCTTCATGCTTGAACGAGCTGAAAGCCGAGGCTCGCTTCGACGATGGAACAACGAGAAGCTCGCCGGAGCGTGCCGGTTTTCGTGGCGGCGCGCCACCAAATTGGAAAGCTACCAAAATCGTTCGCGGCGAATGCTTCGAGATATTACTGTGTGTACAGCCACTACAGGTGACCACAATATTCTCGGACGATTTTAACTTCTCCAGAATGAATGGCGCTATATTGGCAACATCGAACTCTTACACGAGCTACACACTTGCCAAATGATAAAACCACCAATTAATGTTTTGGCAGTAACATTTGAAAAGCTAATAAAGTAAAACTGGTAACTTTCATCTGCGAACGATTAATATTTAAAATAGAAAGCAGCAAACCTAGAATATAGTTATTCAAATAACAAAAGATTGGCCATATAGATTTCCTTTTTTACAGTGCATTTTAGAGTGGAATATATAATTTAGTTCTCCGTGGTAAAGGTTTTGAATACATTGAAAAATCCTCGTCCGCAGAGGGTTATACCTAGCCAGACTTTTCCCTCCCCTCTGGCTCGATCCTCGTGTCCGACCATTGACGGCGTATTCTACTGAAACCTTAATCCACTTACGAGAGGAGCCGATCGAAGAGCTACGCGTCGATTTCGATTGAACTTCGTGTGCAGGTATTAAACTCTATTAAAAATCACGAAAGAATTTCAAGTATTATTTCTGACATAACACTTTTGAAACACTAACGAAAGGAATGGTATCAGAATGAATTATCAACGATTCAGTACCATATTTCTTAATCCTTTTTTGTTCTTACACCAGTGTCTGATTACCACTTGTATTACTAAACACTTTCCTTCGACATCAGTCTTCTTATCGTTATTATTCTCAAGCAATTAGAAATCGCCTTTCACCGCGTTATAGAAACAAATTTCGCAAACGTTAAGGCAACACGCATTATTCAGGACTCTACCGTGATACTGTAAGGAGTTAAAAGACCCTAGTCTCGAACGGGTTCAGCTCAGGTCCGTACGCGGCTTCCGCGATCAAAGGTGTTTCATTGTCTCGCCGCGGCGGTCGGCCGTATTGAGACGCCTAACGAGGCTAGACAACGGGTTTTAAAGTGGGAAACGTGTCGGCGGACACCTGGTCCCGGCGGGTATCGACGCCCGCAGCCCGCGTTTCGATATTGATTGCGAACTTAGAATCCACCGGGCGCGCTGGAATCCTCTATCGCCGTGCGACCTTGACACAGATGCGCTACTCTACTTTCCGTTGAAAGACCGCTTTTCGCCGGGTTGTAACCTCACCGATTTTGAATAGCGGTCGGGAGACCGTTCCCTTTTTTCTTTTTTTTTCGGCGGTCGTTCGGCAGAATTTTTCAACGCCCGGCGACCTTCAATCGAAAATTCTTTTCGCCGCGCGTTGCGCTGCTCCTGGCACGCCCTTCGACATCGGGAAACGATCCGCTACCGCGGTGCGGCGCGGTGCGTTGAAGGAAATTCGGGGGACAAGGTCGGGCGTGCCGAAATCGCGGACCTCGACGCTCGAGATAATGGCGCGAACACGTGTCTGGCCTCTCTTAAAGCCTTTCCGTTTCGTCCCTCGGCTCTAAATGTGTTTTATCGCGCTACGTTTCGCGAGACCTTTTTATTTATCGGGCTGTTTTACTGGTTTAGTCTTGTGCGGGATTCGAGAGCTTTCGGTGAAATGGTACGTAGTATTCTTGTTCTATATTTTTGTTGCAAGGAACTTAGGAGATACTGAAGGGAATACGGAATTGAAGAAGTGTCCAGTTTAGAGGTTATTGATAATATGGAAAGATGAAAGTTAAACCTCTGCGATTCAATAGGAAGTCAATAGTTACGTGTTCTTGCAGTTATTTGCAGTATCATAGTTTTATCTTATGAAAATATAATTTTAATGATTCTCAAGGGTTCTGTAATGCACTACAATTCAATTAAGTAACGTTGTTGCCATTTCTACAGCATAAAACCAAAGGTACTTCAAGCAGAGAAGGGTTAATAAAAATTTTCTCTCGAAAAATATTCGTACTTTCCATTTTCAATAAAAATTCATGGTTCATTTGAATTTTTTTGTCATAATTTTGAAGGATATTCATTTTAGGATGCTTGATGTATCAGTTAAATGATTTATGCCGTTAGTAACCGGGCCGTGTATAACGCCTGCGGCACGAATCATCTGTTCTCCAATTGGTATCGAATACGTGTCGCGACGAAAACGGAAATGTCGTGTTCACCGTGAAATGAGCGGGACAGAGATCACAGATTGATCGAGAAGATCGCGGCCGATAACGGTCGGATATTGGGACACGTGGAATATTAGGAAACCATCTAAACGACCTGGATTTTCTGTTTAGTTAATACGGCGGCCATCGCGATAAGGGGTCACGGTCACGCAGCCGTGCATCCCCGCGAGGTTACTCTCGAGATGTCTCCTTTCAATCCGCATGAAAATTGTACGAGGATGGTCGCTAATTAAAGAGGGGATAGAAACCAAAAAAAGCAGAAAGATGCATGCGACTCTCGCGCGAGACAGTGATCTTTTAGTGGATCCAATTAAGAAGCGGCGCGTTCGTTTGTGACGTTTCGGTGCAACCGAAACTTCGTGGGAATCTTTTTTTCTATTTTGGAAGTACGTTACCGCATTTGATGTTTTGAAATCATTATTATACAAACATTTTAATACGTTCAAGACCTTATATAACCAACCGAAATGTTTGCGATTTTCCGAACTTTAGTAATAGAATGCTTCTACCAAAATCTTTTATTTATAGAACATAAATCAATATAAAACTGTCCAAGAAATAGAGATCAAAAGTGATTTCAGCAAATCTTCACAAGAACATACGAAATTATGTCAAAGAATACCTACGAATAGATAAGAAATCCACTGAATTTAGAAGAGACCATTACAACAAAATCTAGGGTAACCTGGGGCAACACCAGAACTGAGAAAGAGCACCCAAACTACCTCAAATTTTAAACAATCGGACTACATAATCAGCGACTTGCAATAAAATCAGCAAACATCAAACTATGGTCATTCAACATACTTTAAACAGACTATCCGATAAAATTCAATATTTGAAAACCTATAACAATCACTAAACCATATTCCTTTCACGTATCCACATAAAATCGAGATCTCTTGTTTCCGGCACGCAATGGCTAAGGGTGTCATGGGTGAAGTTTCTGTCGACAGTGGGCAGCCACGAGCCACGAGCCACGAGCCACGAGCCACGAGCCACGAGCCATGGCCACGAAGCCCTTAAGTTCGCGGCGTGCAGGAGAAAGGCGATAGTCCGACTCTGCGATCCAATTAGCGGGAAGATCCCGTTCACGGATACGTTCGCGACCATTGTAGCGTGGGCCCGCGTGACACCGCTGCGGCACCGGCTTATCCGTCGGCGGCCGTTCCGATCCAGGGAACACGGAAAACCCGTTCCCCAGATCAGCGGGCAAAGCGTCCGGATTAGCTCCCTCCCCCCTGGCAGCCGAGGAAACTGACCGAAAACACCGACACGCGTCCGCCTTCGGCTCCGTCGAGCGAGTGATTCGCTTTAACCGTGCATCAGTGGCTGCCCTCAACTGTGATAAGTAATTTTCGGCTGATCATCGGTTACCCCATAGTCCGCCACACCCTCCTGATTCACGTGTGTCCATCTCCAGCGCCCTGCCGCTCTTCGCGACCGTGTCGTTCGCGTATTTTTACAGCGAGCCGTTCTCTCGGCCGAGAGGCTTTCATGATGAAAGAGCGGACCGAGGCTTTGATCCTTCCTTCTCTGCCGACGCGAATCGTTTCTGGACGCCGACCGATAGAGAACGTCCCGTTACACGGTTATGGGTATTGTAAGGCAGGAAGAATTTTTTTTTAGAACTTTGTTTCAAGTGGAAGATGAATTGGTTTTTAGTTGTGTCTATGGCAATTCTGTTGGAATTGGTTTGTTGGTGGGGTTTTTGAAGCGGTTATGTGAGGGGTTGGAAAGTGAGGTTGAAGGTTTTGGAGGAATTTATGTTTGGACTGGGAGATGATTGTTGTTTATGGAGTTACTGGGTTTTACTTGGATTTATGGTGATTTGAATTGGATTTTTGATAGACTTTTCTAGGGGTTCGAGGGTTTAATTGGGTCTAATTGGCTTTATCTTGTTGAACACTTCTAAAAGATGTACTTATGATGAATTTAAGAAATTAACAGAGGAGGTATTGTTTGATTAATGTGGTGGGAGTAGTTCGATTTCTTTTAGTCGATTTCGATAGTATTTGCTTAGTTATTCTATGTTGCCAGTGTTTTTTTTCAAAAAGTGTCTAAAACTAGTGCATTATCCAGTTGGCTCGTTATTGCAAATTTCCTCAGAAACAAGTGGCAACTGATTGTCCTCCCTTCATCGATTAAACGACAAACAACGATATACACAACAATGATAGACAACAATGGCATGTATCACGACCATTGACAGAAAAATAGGAACAAAGTAGCCTAAGAGCAACAACAGCGACAGAAGTCTAATGCCAGCACACCTGAAAGCAATATTTATACGATGCCTCGGAAATCGTGGCACATGAATCAAGGTAATTGATCGAGTAAATCGAAGCAGTTGAATGGAACTTGTCTATACAAAGACAGTCTGTTCATACTAGAGCGTAATTTAAATGTTCGGGGTTGCTTACGTGTATCGGGAAAGCATGTTTGACCGTTATGGACTGACTCTACTTGTTGCAAATCTCGACGCTATAGCATTATCTGCCCATTATCGATTTTAATACTTCTTAATTACATTATTCGACAAATTATCTATTTAAAAATTCAACGCTATGTATTTATTATTATGAATTAAATTAAATTTATTTAACAAGTAAATTTCATTTGAAAATTCTGAACGGAATTATGTAAATCCGAAATAAAGTTATTTTACCAATTTTAGTTTGATCATTTTGTGTTTCTAAGGAATCTGTTTGACTATCATTTTATAGGTCCAATATATTTCTACCCCGGAGAATCTGTACAGTGGCACCACGACTTCCGATACACCATGTACACAGTCCAGCCTAATAATGTCTTCCAGGCCAAACCCTGGAACTTGCCACTTACACAGCGATCTAGCTGTTTCTCTGAGCCACTCGCTCTTCATTAGTGTTTACTACCACCAATAACGGTCACACGAATTCAACCAATATTTTGCTAAACATGATTTTATTTATGATTCCATATTTCGTTCGAAGCTGAAAATTTTAAATAATTTTCATACAAATGCTAAGTTCGTCTGACCAGATGCTTTTTGTTAGGAATGATAGCAAATATAAACCAGAGTTGAGCATTTTACTCGTGATATGATAAAATGAAATAATTCATCTTCATTTACTTGAATAATTAATTTCCATCGATTCTGATAATTTATTCAAATACTTCCGAATTAGCACCTTTCAATACAGAACGACCAACACAGACACTTAAAAAACTGAACAAATAATTACTTGAATAAATTCTTGTTCGATGGACCATTTGTTTATTAACCTTTTACGGTCCAAAGATACTTTATTTTACCATTAATAACCAATTTAATATGACACGTTAATAATTCGTTTAAAAACATTTCAGAAATACGAAAATTGCATTTATCATAATACAATTATGACATTATGAATAAATATCAAAAAAATTAGTAAAACACCAATTTATCACAATGGACCGCAAAGGTTAAATATCCTACACAACTTTACCTCAACTCCGGCACAAACGTTTATCAAGCAGTTTGCAAGACTAACCAGACATCGAAGCAGTCAACAGATTCACTACCAACGGTATTCCTAAGAACCATAAATTATATACTCCACATAGCCAACCACAAAGATCGTTACTTCAACAAATCCTAATACCTCAGTAAAAAGAAACCACCCCAGTGTCAATACTCTCTCATCAAAATCATTCATCCACACGTTGGTAGCGAACAGGTTTCGAGTCTCGACCAAAGAACAT